GGCAATGCTCGTCTGATGCCTCATCACTCCCACTGGCGTCGTTCCTCACATGCTGACCCCTTTTCCGCGTGTTGCCTTTCGCCCCCATTCGGCGATTTGCTCAGCACTCTCGCCGTGCTGGCGCAGCACAGCATCGCCTCTTCCTGTCGCGCACGTCGGCTTCGCGGGTCAGACTTTGACGACTTCACCTATGTGCTGGGCATGGATGCCGCCAATGTGCGCAACTTGCACGCGCAGAAGCCGAGAGGAAGTAAGGCAATCGTGGAGCTCTTTGGCAAGTGGAGCGATGGCAAGGAGGTCAAGGATCCGTATTATGGCGTGCGTCTTTTTCGGCAGGAAAAGGGGGGCGAACTGCGCTCTTGCTGCACCTTGCTGATTTAGATGGCACCCCCCCCCCCCACCTCCCCCCCGCGGCAACAGAGCGACAATGGATTCGAGCGGTGCTACGCCCAATGTCGTCGGTGCGTTTGTCGTCGCATGCCCCGCACGCGCGCGCGCGGCGAGTGCCTTTCGCCCACCTGTGTTTGCTCACACTGTGCACCAACCCCCCCCCCTTCCCCCGGCCGCGTGGGGGTGCACGCCCGCACAGATACTCGCTCGCGCTCCTGCAGCACCTCGAGCTCATCGACGAAGCAACTGCTTCCGCTGCTCTGGCGGGCGCGGCGAATGCCAAGCAATAGAAGAGGCGCCCCATTTGGCTCGTTTCCACGCGCTCGCGCGGCTGGCGGTCTGCCAAACGAGAATGCGGGCAGCCAGAGGGCCTCGTTCCTCCAGCAGCAGGTTGTTGATGCAGCCGAGGACAAGCGGCGCCTCCTGGTCAAGCAGCGTGTCCAGGACGAGCGGCATGAGGCGCCATCGAGCGCGGCCATTGAGCGTGCACTGTTGCCGCATCGGCACGCCTCTCTCTCCATCTTGCCCGGCGACAACACCCTTTCCGTCGCATGGGCATTGTGCCGCGCCGTCGCTGGGTGCCCATTCCCGCACTGCCATGGCCCCCCACGCTGGCACTGTTCCCCCATGCGTGCGCGAGGAGAGCGGGGGCAAACAAAACGGGGGCTGTATGATGGCGGATTTCGTTGCGCACCTGCTCTTGGCAAAGCAGGCGAGCGAGGGGCATTTGAGGACGAAGGGAAGGGGGGGGGGGGGCATAGCGCAGCAGGAGCAGGGCAGGGGAGGTTGGTGCTTGGCTTTCTTTGCATGCGTGCGTGAAGGAATGGCGCGGGGAGGGAAAGCGTGGGTGGAGGGTGTGGGCTGATGTGTGCTCGAGAGACTTGCGTGAGGTCCCGTCGCACTTTGCCAGAGAAAGCGACGAGTGAGCCCCCAGTCGTCCCCACGGCAGCAGCAGCCCGACGCCCTTTACTTGTACACGCTGACGAAGTCGCGCTGCGGCTTGGCGTGGATGCTCTGTTCCCAATTCGTGATCAGAGAGGGGAGGGGGAGGGGGAGGG